GCCTCTGAAGCTCAGATCACGTTTTTAAAGGCAAATTTTAGAACAAATGGTGAGTCTGGTCATAAAATATGGCAAGTTTACGCCAATAGCAATTAAAAAAAAAAACCAAATTCCACATTAATTGTATGGTGCCAGCCCCAAAGACCAGCACTTCAAGCACTGTCATCATCTAACCAGTTAACAAGCTGAAGCACCCTCTCTGCCCCTGCGAACAACAGAAGGAACTGAAAAGATTCAAGAGAGGGTTTCTTTTTTTTCCCCTTCTCATTCGGTGGAAAGTATTTCTGCCCACAGAATGCAAGATTCACAAAAATGTTGGACAAACTTCATCTAACCCCATCCGAAGTTACTCCTCACGCAGCACTTCACTAGCCAACCTGCTTCACCAACAGGCCCGCGTTTATTTGGGCCAGTAACTCGGTTCCCTCCTCCCAGCTGCACACATCGTGCCAAGGGAAACGAGGGGATCAGCAACACAAGTTCCCTTCCAATACAGAAAGTGGAGCAACTCCTATTAATTTCCTAACTATCTCCTCGCATGCACGTTTAAGGAGTACAACCGATTATTCCAAAGGGAAGGGTCTGCTCTGGCACCTCCTCTTTCTTTCGTGCAGAGATCCTGCTTCACGGTCTGTCTACCGCTTCATCGAACTACAACCCGAGGGATGCTTTAGGATGCTGACCCTTTCTCCTCGTTAAAGCTATTTGCTTTGAACGCTGAATTTCAGCAAGCCTAACCCCCCCCTCCCCTCACAGCATCTTTGTTCTTCAGGAATGTTACTTTGATTTTGCTGTTCCAAAAGCAGAGGTTGCAAATCAATGTAAGGAAACTACGCGTAAGAAAATCTGATTTGAAACGTGACCCAAACAAAACAACCCCCAACCCATCGTAGTGCTTTGTAAAACTGCATGTCGAACCTGTCTCTTATCCCTCCTGATCCACAAGCAGTACCTGTTTCATGTCTGCACAATGCAGCAAGCATACAAGACTCACTAACATTTCAGATTTTTATTCCCTGTTAGTGTAACAAAAATAAAAAATAAACAGACATTCAAAACCAGAAGCGAGATTGTTCAAGTACCAAATAAGGGGCTTTTCCAAACCTAAGGTGGGACACTCCTATAGCAATTCTGCTGTTTTAAACAGCCACAGCCTTCACTTACAGACACGGTGCCACCCAAGCCTGCAGAGAGCCCAGGATTTGGGGCAACCAAGAGCCTCCTCCTTCCCCCCCTCCCCAAAACAGCACTAAGTGTCAACATTCATTTCCACAGTCCCCATTACAGCTGCCTAGCTTTGTGAAGGACAAACTTTGATTTTTGCGCCGCTGTGACTAGAATTCAGGTATCATTAAACATGAGCTCTAAAAAAGAATGGCTTTTGGTTGTGGAAGAAGTCTTGCTTACACCAGTGTCAGCGAGAAAAGAATCAGGCCCGTCACATTAAATGGAAAACTTATCGACCATCTGCCACATCAAGAGAGATGAGCGTGGAAAGAGCATTTTATTTTTGGCCTAAGACAGAGGGCTGTACTGGATATAACTCTAGGGTGCAACTACCAACGGTACAAAGCAGTGACCCAATCCACTGCTGATGAGAATTATTAAAAAAAAAATCCAAAACAAAATACAACTCCCAATTCTAGAGCACTCCAGTATCAGGTGGACAATCACGTATTACTGCTTCACATACGAGCGAAGCATCTGTTGGGACATCCCTCCGTTTCTAGGTTGGTTCTTCCCATGCTAAGATTACTTGTAATCAATGAAGAAATGCGCAGGAAAAGATTTATAACTTACTAACTTCAAAAACATGGCACTCATGGCTGACGCAATGGGGCCAATGGCAACTGTGGAAGTAGAGCTGATTTCCATCCATACGAATACAAAATACTGAATCACCCCTGATCCCTGCAAATATACTTCAAAACAGATTAGAAGAAACTGTGCATATTCGAGTTCCAACACCCCCTCCCGCCCCCATTTAACACTGTGCAAAAGTTATTTATTTAACTCTACATACATATTTAATACAGTATGAGTCGATGAGATCAGTACTCCTCTAACTGCAGTCCGGTAACAGAAGGCTGCTACAACAGCGAGACTATTTCCCCCTTTCCTCTGGACATTTTGACTCTTAAAATGAAAACCTTCTTACTGCTTTAAAAGAACTTGAGTTCCTTTGTTTTGCTTTTATGTTTGCTTTTCCTGTATTTGTTTTAGGCTTAACAGCTGCTTTTCCTACGAGGGCGGAACCCTGCACCTCGCAGGCCCAGTTCTGATTTCTCAGCCATGCAAGTGTAGAACAGCTCTTGGAAACCACGTGTTTTCTCACAGGTCTAATGCTACTGAGGAAACAGAATTAGGCCGAGCCCAACGAGCGCAGCAGGACCAAGCCCGTGCCCCGTGGATCACACCAGCCACACGTGTCTGTTGGCTTTATACCCGTTTTCATTTGCTCTATGAATGCTAAAGGGATGCAAAACCGACCTGTGCAATAGCACGTGGGAGTCAAAGGGGAGCAATCGCAGCAGCTGGGATTTCACGTGCCTAAACCAAACACGGAGAGAGCGCAGCAAAACACAGCCTCAGAGAGACCGCTGAGGGTAACAGAGCCAAACGCAAGGAACTTGGGCTTAGTCTGCCCATAGCCCTGATCTGACGATTTGGGCAAAATAGAATTTCAAAGAATGCTTCAAGATGGCTTGTTGGGCTCGGAAGGCATCACTTGCGGCAAATACCACACCTGTGATCAGCAAAGAGATCTCGGAGAGTGCAGGGCCAAGAATCCCGACTCACTTGCACCACTATAAGCCAAGCTACCTTCAGGGACGCCAGTGGAATTCCACTGTATTTACCTTGGCAGAGCCGGGGCCGGAGCCTGGACCAAGACCTCACAGGATCAGTTAGATTCCACTACAGGGAAACTTCAGACAGCCCCGCTTTGCTATCCCGCTGCTGTCAGTACTGCGAGGGTGTGCCACGAGTTACGAGCTTGAAAGTAGACCTGTGCTTGTTTAAAACAAAGCTGAGCCCTACCTAAAGTTGGGGCAGATGTGAAACGCTTCAGTCAGGTTGTCCCTGTCACAGAACTGGGGATCTGCAATACGTGCCCCATCAGCCTCAAACGTTAACGTTGCAAGTAAGAGGAGAGGCCAGAGAGATTGCAAGGGCAGAGAAAACAATCAGACACTCCTCTCGCACAGGTTTTTCCACAGGCACGAGGCACCTGGCTGTCATTTGTGCCTTTGAACTGATTTCCCTCATCAGGCATTTGGACTCAGCCCAGCATCAAGGGAACGCTAGATGCACAAGAGGTGGAGAGAATGACAGCCTTACAGCTACCAGATTAGAACTGCAAATTATCCAAGAGGTAGGACAAGTTTCTTTAAAAAGAAAAATTTCTTCCATGTTCATATACAACTAAGGAATACCATTCGAGATCTTCACTAAGAGCAAAGGCTACGTCTCATTTTTCCTTTTCTTGGGGAAGCGGCAGAGAAGGGACACATGAGTAGATGTGGGTCACTTTGACACAGCAGCTTGCATGAATTTTCTTCTCTCACCCAGTTTTGGTTAAGTTTTGCAGTGCTTCATTTAATTAGAAAAGTGGCATCTACAGAATTCTCTGCCTAAAGATTGCACTCTGGCTGATTAGAAAGTGCCTGGGATGCGTCAGGGTCATTAGTGCAAAACAGAACATCTCGCAGGCATGCCAGGCAACCAGACTACCCTTCCTGCAACGGCTGCCAGCGCTCCAGCCTTGTCACTTCCCCGCTTGCAAATTCATGACATTCAGCAAAATAATACTTCTAGTGTAAACATTAAATATCAACAAGCCTAGCACTACTGCCCAGGCATTACAGGAAAAAAAAAATCCAAACACCAAACCACATTTGAACAGGAAATCAGGCCCAGGGTCAGAAAGAGGTCTAGAGCATTCTCAGACCTGCGTGGCTGTCTGCTTCCTGTCCTGCACAATGGGTGCATTGCAAGGGAACTGCTGCCAGTAATAGGAACAAAAGTAACTTTCAAGGTTGCACACTGAACAATTACTTTGCCAGTTGTGCTTTGATGCCAAGTGGTTCAGTTTGCCAAATTTAGCTCTTTTTCATTTTAGAAGCTTAAGGAATGGAAATAAGCTGCTTTGTATATTTTCCAGGGAGGGGATTTATTGGATTATTGCTATACTTGATGAAGCCCAGGACTACCCACTCCAGTATTTGACAGCAGCCCTTGCCAAAGGATGGTACCAGACATCCAATAACTGAGGAGTACAGCTCTCTTCCCTTCCTGTATTTTGCATTATGTCCAAAATAACTACAAGGGAATTTAGATTATACCAGTGTAAAATCTTGCTTGGCTGCAGTGGTGTGAGTTCAGAATCTAGCTTGCAAAGAACAAATCGGAGGAGACTGATAATTAGCAGGCTCACTTCTATACCACTGGAAATGACTATACCTCATGAAAGAATTTGGTACAATAAGCCATCCAGAAGCATTCGATTGCATCTACGTCTTCTATACCAAAATCAAGTGTTAACAAGAGTCTGTCACTGTTCAGCAAGAGAACTGCAACAGGTGAGTGCAAGCTTCATTCTAGTTTACATTCTGAAGCACAGTATCATTAAAAACTGAGAACAGAATCCCAAGCTGAGGAATGGGAGAAAGGGGGATGAAGAAAGAGGAGAGTGAGCAATTACATCAGATCAGACAAATTTAGCATTTCGAAGCCACACAATGTTTAGCTTTTCCTTTTATTTGTTTCAAGTTTTGGTGTAGAAAGTATGTGCAGATGCTAATGCAACCTTCCCCATAAGTGCTCAATCTAGCAACAAACAAAGTTTTGGTGTGTTCAATTTGGTTATAAATGTTTCCTTTAAGTGAAGACCTGTAGTGCCATTGAAACCAAAACTTTGTTACTGTTGGCAAAAAAATAAAGCGACTTTTCTTTACAAGCATTTTTCCATTTAAATAAAAACCTGAAGCTTTCCCATAATTCCTTTGGTCTTCTCTCACCAAATTCCATGCTACCTCAAGACAAGCCCTCTTTTGGAAGTTCGGCTGAATCGCAGTGAAGCTGCTAATATTAACAGAGAAGAATTGCTGTGGTAGAGTTTCCCCCCTAGTTTCTCGGGAGTTTAAGACTGAAAGACATTACTGATGCCTCAAACAGAGGCTTCAAATTGTCTCTACAAGAACAAGAGAAAACAAAATCCGATTAGAAGTTCCACTGAAGGTGCCTGGCAAAAAATTATCTCCATAAAACGACGTTTTGCTTCCAGTATTTTTGTATGCGTTGTGTTGAGTTTATTCCCCTCATAAGGAAACAAAAGTATCAGTGTAAAAGCACAGCTGAGCTTTCAAGGTAGCACCAGGACACCTACACCCAAGTTGTCGTCTTGTTGCTGCTAGGCCTCTTTTTGATTCACATTCACAGAATCACTTCTTGTGCAAAACAAGCAGTCTAAGGAGAAAGAATGCCCTCCAAGTTCTAATAAAAATTGTAGAAAAGAATCCAAGATAGCCAACGCTTTCCTCCTCCCCAAAATTTATCTGCAGAGAGAGGGGGGCATCTGTGCGTAGACAGGATAGGCAAGCCTGACATTTAGGGAATCATTGTGTTGGACGAGGGATGTCTGCTGGTAATGAAGAACCAAATCCTTAAGTGTGCTGTACAGGTTATACGGTTCTGCAAACCCGTAACCTCTTGGAGTGCTGTAGATCACACAGTGTTTCACTTCTCCATCAGCTCTGCAAGGAAAAGAAACAGGAGAGTTTAACATTAAAGGACAAACCCAAAGTGACAGTCTATTAACAATTAACTAGTGCGGCAACCCTGCCAGTCACTAAATTACATAATGGAGGACCCAGTAGATGCAAGCAGAGGAGATTAATATAGTCTGTGAAGAAACAGTGCTTCAGGGCATGTGATTAAACACTCTTGCATAATAATCCACATAAGAGGCCTCTTCTATCCCAGCAGTACAATTCCCTACTGCATTGTTCTCCAAATGTTTCTTGGAAAAAACAGTCAAGAGCTTAACCAAAAAGATAAGCACCTGAAGTCGGCAACGACTTTGTGCTTAACTTAACTGGAAACCTTTCCACTAAACGAAGCTGCCAAAACTCACAAACTCTTAGGACCTACAGAGGATTTAATGAAATGCAGCACTAACCTTCAGCATGCATTTTTTAATGTTAAGCATGGCACGGGTTCAAGTTGGTTCATTATCTGAAGTCATAGTGACTGAGTCCTTAACTTGGCAAAGCACTTACTGCTGTATTTCCAAAGCTGCTAGAAAAACTTATCTGCCAGAAAGATCGCATGTTACGTAACCCCTGTACTGGAGCCCGTCACCGTCCCAGTCACGTGTGGGAACAGGTTACGTTATGCCATCCCTTTGGTAGCTTGTAGTATGATACCAACCAAGTGAAAGTATCTGATGAACCCATCACTTCAGTGACTGTGACAAATAGTACCTTGAACACAGTAGACACAATCTTCAGTTACCTTGAGGTGATACACTTTCACATATTCATTCCTCAGACTTGCTTTCAGAAGCAATTAACCTCATGTGAAATAAATCAGTGAAAGCCATTTTGCACTCCGGAACAGACTTGAAGGATTTTTAAGATAATGGAATCAGAGTATTTCTGACCTCCATTACACCAGCATAAAATGAAGTGAAACACAAGAAATCAATGCAAGGCTGTGTGAATGTCATAAAAACTACTGCTCACAAATAATGTCTCCTCTGAAGCATCACTTATCTTAAACATCCAAGAGAAAACATCTAGAGTTGGGCATGTCTAAAAACGAGAACGGAAGATGTTACAGTTTTACAGCCCTGTTTTTCTTTTCCCATGTATTCCTTGGCAGGGAAGAACATGGGAGAATTCAACCGTAATTTACTTATGACTGTAGAGCTTGAAGTTGGGATACTTCAGGATTTTGTACTAGCTACTGTGATGACTGAAGAGACTGCTAGGACTACAGTTATTGCACATTCAAAGCACTTTTTTGCAACAAAGCTTTTGCCATGCTCGTCTTCCTGCAAACATGTAACACATTCCAATGGGTAGGCCTCAGCTAGGCCTGGCTTTTGTTCTCCAAAATAAAGAGCTGTGGTAGAGATTTATGAATTGAGTAGTTAGAACAAAAAGGAAAACAGACTTACACCACAGAACAAGCATAACATCCTTTCTTGCTACTCTCACGAATTAAAAATGCTCCATCAGGTTTCCCACAGAGCAAGTCTTCTGCTTGGATACGGTTGAGATCCCCAACAAACCAGGTTTTCTCATCATGATGTGGCAGGTTTTCGTCTTCTTCATTCACAAAGTATGTGCTGAAAGAGAGGATAAATTTGTTAACTTAACCAGTGGTCAGTAAAGGAGTTAACAAGCAGGGTGATTTATTTTTGCAGAAATAATTCAAAGAAATACCAGAACAGACCCAAATTGGGAGCTCAGGCTCCTAACAGACATATATTAAAGGCTTCAACTTAGAACTTAATTGCTCCAACTTTGTTTAATCCTAAATGTTTCAGCAGAGTTGCTGCCTCATATGACAAAGTTCCCCTAGAGAATTTCTCCCTTTTTCTGCAGTCCTTTACTGAAAAACTGGTGTTTTGTCTTACCAGCCCCCACAAGAGAAAACACTTAATGGAACACTTCTCAGTAAAATCATATGTATAGTGACACTTACTCATCAATGTTTTCATTTTTGATCCCCAGCCAGTCATTTATTCGCTTCTGTCTCACGCCTTTGTGATTGAGCCATCTGCCAGAAGAAGAGAGCATTAATATGTTACTTCAGAGTACATGTGCGGGTTTTCTTACCGAGCAAGCTGAAACTCAGACGCAAGGTCCCACAAAAAAACAGTTCGGAGCTCAGTTTGTTCTCCATCAGCAAAAACCATAGAAAGACCATAGATTCCTTAAGAGTGCTTCCTTGCATCATCTTCCGAGATGCCTCCTTTACTGGACACAGCAAAAAGGAGCCATGAAGCAACCTCGTAAATGGAGAAAGAGGAGGGTTGAGCTGAGGAAGAGGTACTGCCTGTGCACAGTGCAGTCCAGAAAGGAAGCGGAATACAAATTGTGACAGCTGCCTGTTTCTCTTGGGAAAACAAAATGGGTATTGCCACTGGCTGCTTCTAACCTCCTCACATCACCTTCTGAGGCATTGCATTTCCCTCTGTCTTCTGCCAGAATCCTACTGCATTGAGTCCAGCCCAAGGTCATTAGGGGCTGGATAACAGGGGTGTCAATGAAATCAAGGGTGGGTATGAGCAACATCTGCCACACCTAGCACAAAAAGAACTAACCTCTGTTGTATAAACAAAACCTGTGCCTGCTAATAAGTCATTTATCTTAAATGTTTTATTTACGGGGGTTGCAGAATGTGCACCTAGTTGTGGCAGGCTATTTAAGTCTCTAAGCAATGAAGTCATGAAGAGGCCAACCAATTACTCAGACATCCCATGCTGGAACGTAGTACCTTAGCACTCACAGAATTTGGTTCTGAAAAGAAAATTAAATTCCCATTATCCTGATGGAAACAGTCATTAATCAGGTTCATCAGAGACACTATTCTGAGGTGCAGGTCCAGGCTTACTTACACAAGATACTGATCTCTGATTTTGCGGAGCTGAATTAGGTCAGGTTTGATACTATTCATTTTCTTATCAGTCTCCCTGTTGTCCAGAGCCTGTTTCTTCAAATCTTGTTCCAGGCGCATTTTACTATCATGGATCTCACCCAGGCGTGATTTTAATTTTTCATAGTTCATCATTATCCTGCAAACAAGTGTAATATTTGAGAGGTGAGGAAAGTCTAGAAGGACTGAACCTTACCAGTAGCACTTACATAAGAGTATCACAAGAACTACCATAACAGCAGCTCCTCCCTTTGACTTCCTCATCTTAACATGAAAATTACTGTTAGAGTGCCAGAAAAGACCTCATGCCAGAAGGCCTACCACCCTTTTGCATAGTTTGAACCTTCAGTTTACCTTAATATATTTCCTTCTGGCAGAGATGCAGGAACAGATTATCTCTAGGAGGGTAAGCTAGAACAGGTTCCTCCTTCACTGTCAGATTCACTTTTCGGTATATCAATTAAGCAATCCCATCACAGGTATCAGTACCAGCAAGATTTAGCAAACAAAGATTTAGCAAAAGTACTAGCAAGTACTAGCAAACGCAGACTTCAATTACGGATCAAGAACTACCAGGACATAATGCTGCCTGTCTCTCCGTTCAAGATTATTTTGTAGGTTTGGTATCATTCAGGAAAATCATGTATCTCCCCTGTTAATTGATCTTCAGTCAGAATGAAGCACCACAATCGCGTAATAAGATTGTTACACGTAACTGTTTTCAGTCTAAAAATCTCTTTAAGGTTACCCTACCGTGATTCATAAAGGACTGCATCAAGTTAGGCATTAATACCTGGCATTTCTTCAAAGGCTCAGATAACAGCTTTTTCTGCTAGTATCTTCACAGATGGGCAATTTCAAATGAGGCCCTTACTGAATTTCTGTTAGATGACCACTATCCACTACCAAGTAGTGGCAATTAAATACTGATCTTTGCAAGTGACTAAAACTGACCATGGACTACAGATTTACCAGATTTATGTACATATTTCACAGTTTACAAGTAAAGATTTTCTGAATTACATTCTAAGCAAATCCAAATAGAAATGGGATAAGCAAATGAAATTCTTATTTCCTGATCCTTTCCTGATCCTCACAGTATCTTGATTTACTGAAGTTAAGAGAGAAGAATCCAGAGATCTTCCACCTCTTCTGTCTACAGTGCAACTCGTCAACAGAAGAGGACTTTACTGAAGGCTCAGACACCTTGGGGGAAAGTCTCAGGAGAAAATACTGAGTTTACAAACTGTTTTATACGATGCAATATTTATATAAAAGAATTTCACAGGAGTATCAATGTGGACACTAGTTCTTCCTTGTAAGCAAACACAACTTGACAGCCTACCGTTCAATTTCTTTGTCATTCCCCTCCCTGCGAAATCGCTCAATGTATTCTTTGCTGTATCGCTCTTGTGAGTGGCACTGTTCCTCAAATATCTTAATAGTTTCATTAAATGCTTCAATCGCGGTCCTCTTCATCTGAATTTCCTATGTGAGGAAAGAGTCCTTCATCATTTGCTCATAATACAGATGACAATGCAAGACTCAATTACGTTCCCTAAATTGACTGAGAAGATGAACTCTTCTCCCCCCCCCCCAAGTCAAAACGTGATTAATCAGTTTTAAATTTAGTCAAACGTCTGAGTAGAGTCAGGGAAGTACAGGGAAGACTGACTCCCTGTAAGTCTACCCTCCTCCCCCACATGATGGTCTCTAATAGGCTGCAAACCCCTCAAATATTTTAGTCATATTTTCCATCTTAGTTTGCAGGAAGACTGCCAGAAAACCTCTTCCCCATATATGAACTATCTTATTTTACAAGAAACAGTCCAAATACTGTATTCACACTTCCTTAATGCATAGTATCTAGTTTCTGATTTGAACATGACTTCATAAAAAAACCTGGACAAACCCCTCTACAATTCTCACTGCAGCATAGCGCAGCTGGAAATACTTGTCAGCCAAGGAAGAAGCCTGCAGGGCAAAGCTTGTAGGTGATGGCCTTCTCCACCGCTCTACCTTATATCAGGAAGCTCAGCTCCTCTTTCTTCCTAGCCCCACATCATACCTCTAGGACTATCAGCAACAAGTAGCATTCATAGTTTCCATCAACTTTGAAACCACCTTGTGCTATTTCACAATTTACTGTTTTTTTTTTTCCTTTATTTCCTGACCTTGGGCTGCCTTAATTAGCCATAACAGGTTAAAATAATTTTCTTTACTTTTTAAACAAGAAACAGACTCTACAGATAGTTAAAGTAGTACCAACCTGTGATGTTCTGGTATATTCTTCATACAATTTGTCGTACTCTTTACTCTTTTCCTGATACTGAGCATGGTATTCTTGAAGCTTTTTACCTACTGCATCTATATTATCTTCTTTCACCAACTGATCCTGTACATACAAAAAGCTTTTAAGTCTCCAAGCAAAACAGCTTTTCTTTAAGAGTATTCATTTGTCCACTTATGCACATTTGCATTTTACAGCTATTAGCATCGTTTTTATAATTGGGTTTCTACAGAACAAATACCGTATCTAAATCCCCCTTCCTCCATGCAGTAAGTTCCACAGCTTACTAGGACACCAAGAACTATGCCAAAATACTAAGCTTCCAAAAACACATGACAGCTTAGGTCTAGGATTGCTATCCCCTATTGGAGCAAGGAGGAAGTGAATTGCTTGGAATCTGAAGTTAAAGATCAGAGTAGTTTTCTTCCTAAAAAAATCCCTGCAGTTCTTTTTCCTTAATGTAAGACGTCTCAGGCTACTGAATAAAACTGAAAAAAATTATTGAAAAATTTAGATAGCTCTGCACAGAGCGAGCATCTGCATGGCTCATATGCGCTTCAAGGGCAACACTGTCTAGAATAGTGCCCTGTGGGTCCACAAGCATCCAAGGGGAAAAAAAAAAAAAGAAAAGGCTTCTCATAGAGGTTCAAGTCTGCTGCATGTCAGGGTTTCAATTCTCTATTGGACTGCTCAGATGAAGACTGGAAACTTGATAAAATGAAGAAGCTTAAATGGTTAGACAATTTGGAAGGTCAAATGTTAAAACTCACCTTTTTTCCACTTTAAAAAAAAATCAGGCTTAACAGAGACAAAACAAAAGTATATACACATTTGCAATTTTTCTTGTCTGCACACTAATAGCTATTGGGGTCTGAAGACCTTACCTGCTGGTAGCGGGACACTGGATACATCAACTTCACATCAAGCTTCGGGTTATACTGAGCAAGAGACTCATTGCGGTAGTGGTTAATCAGTTCCACAACTGAATTAAACGTCAGCGGATCAGAAAAGCCATATTTTCCATCCCGATGATAGATCTTTATCAGTTTATTGTTGCCACCCTTCCTGTAAAGTGGTACAGTCAGAGGTTTTACTGCGTACCTCCTATCCCTCTTCAACACTAAGGCTGCTAACAAAGACACCAGTGAAATTCCTGGGCAAGTGGCTTTGACACTGTACACTTTCATAGTGATTCTTTACATACCAACAGATATTAGGTAGTTTAAGAGTCAATACACAGAATTATCATCAGATATTATTTGAACAGGAACAAACCCCAAAGTAAATCTCTTCCTATGCATTCATTCTGGAGACAGCTTATGGTAGTTAAGACCTAACTTTGCCAGGAGTTTTACAAGGGAAAAGGAGGATGCTGAAGGCTGAATAAAGGAGCCATATGAAAACCCAAACCCACAATTTTCTGCAATTTGGGGTCACTAATAGTATACAACTGAGTATACATTTATACAGTTATTAACAAGTCTTTTGAGTTATGGATGCTAATACAGGATACATGAACCTAAACAAAATCCTTTCAGGATTACAAGATGGTTGTAAGTTTAGGACTTTACATTATCCAGATTTTTACATTCTGGAGCTTTCCACAAATATAGTGCTTATTTCTTCCTTTTTTTACCAACAGACTGTTTAGACAAAATCCCGTCCTTCCTGCTCTCTCAATTTTGGTTCCTAAAGACATCTGCATTCAGCAAAATAACCAAACCATGCCAAACCTTAGTGCACAAGCTGTGTGAACTACAAGGCAGAAGTCAAGGCAGAATTTAAACTACACCCTTGGGGTCAAACCTGCCATTAAGACAACAGAGTTTCATGGCAAGATCAAATATCTACCATATCATAGCAACTCCCAAAGGTGTGCTACACAGGTAGTGGCTTATGCGCCTCGCCTGTTTGCCTCTAACAGCCAATCTTGGGAGCCTGGCAGAGGCAAGCGGCTGGACAGGCTGGGCAAGGCACCAGCAGCTAGTCACATGAGGACTGCTGCTTAAGTGCAGTAGACAGGGCTGGGGCAGCTCTGGGAAGTCTGCCACTTGCAGACAATTTTAATGAAGAAAAGAACATGGCCCCAATTCAATATTTCCTAAACTTTAGATCAGAAAGCACAAGATAGTCTTTTTACAAAGACACTGTGTTCAATTCTCCAGAGCTGCACACTGGTGAGATATTCAACGCACGCCCATTAATCAAAGCCCTAGTTTATAAATACCCTTTACCTTAGCAGTTCTGAAACTATGAAGCAGTACTGAGTGTCTCTCCCCCCCGAGTCCCATCTAATCTACACAGAGATCCTTACAGTAGTGTCTAGTGAGGGACAGGATTCAACACACAGAACAAAACTGACTATAGAACCTGGCTATTTATTTGCTCATTCTGTGATCTGCAGTACCTTTGGGAACATCTCTCAAACTTGAGCCACATCAGCTTTACACAGCCACTGCTGTCGTTGGGATAGCAACTAGCTACTCAGGGTTTTACTATGTGGACTACAACTGCTCAACACTTACCGTAATGTCAGAGTGTAGTCTCCCTGCATCTTGGTTGATGCATCACGCACCAGGAATGTTCCATCTGGCATGTCTCGTAATTTGTCATTTACTTCTTCCCTGGAGAATGGAAAGGAAGACAGAATTAGAAGCATTAAGGACAGAATCATCTTTGACGCAGGTATCAATAGTGGAGCCAGTAACACCAGCATGCGTAAGGAGTTCAATCTTCAAAATATCAGGCAATCTTCTTACACACTTAGGCTCTCCAGTCTTTTAGGTTATCTCAAGCAAGTCTCACCTTAGGTAGTTATACTAAAAAAATAGCAGTTGCAGTCAACTGCCACTTAGGAAGAAGTCTCTGTTTAAGCAACAGGAGCAGCTGTGTCTCAGAGTTCACAGCCTTTCCCTGTAATCTGCTCAGGTTTTAAAGTCCTCACTGGAAACAGGTGCCCTTTGAGAAGCCAGTCCTGACCTCTTAAGAAATGTTCTCTAGCATCATAGCTCAAAGGTGTCTAGAGTTTAGCACAGTTTTAGTCTCAAGAGACTCATTATTGGCTTAACTCTGATCTTATTTACAGCAGTTTTAAACCACCACAACCTTCCGAGCTTCAGTGCAACTTTTCCTCATTTACAACTGAAGCATAAGGATACTCAAGTCCAGAGCTTTAGGCTACATCAAGAAACCTTTCAGTGAAAGCGAGTACCTGTAAGCATTAAGAAAATTATTTCAGCTGAAGAGTTAAGTGTCTTGCCAGGTTTGACCATTTCACCCAGATTACATATCTCACTTTATAACACCTCCCTCACAGGTTCTTAGAAGCACTAAGCACTTTTTAATACAATCATTTGGAAACTAAAGTTTATCAGGTAGCCTCAACATTATCTAAGTGAGGTAGGAAGCCTACTTGAATCTTACAAAGCAAAAATCAACAACAGCTTTTTTGTTCAAATACTAAGAACAAAAGTATTCTTAGAAAACAGCTCTAGTTTTGTAGCTACCTGAAAACCATCCTGTTAGTAAAACTGACTCCTGTTAAGCATCATGTGCATATCTGCTTACTCCTCTCAGAACATTTTACAGAGTGGACCCAGTTAACTCAAACGGCCTTCTCCTTTTTGAATGGACAGATACGATCTAAGGGCTTGGGCTTATGCCTGCAAGTTGCACCCCGGAGCTTGTGACAAAATTTTCAGTGCAAGTTCTTGACTGAAGACCACGGCTCCTGCCCTGACAGCCCGATGCGGTCCATACCTGCTGGCTGTCAAATTAGGGTCATAAACAATTCTGTCTTTACATGTGTGTGTATCACATTTTAATCTAATAAAGCCACTCCAATGCTATTTGAACTGCATTAGCTCCTGCCATCACGTGCACTGTTAATTGAGGAACAAATTCACAGTCAATAAGCTGATACCAATATCAAGCAGTTTTAAACAAAGCCTGACTAGTGGGTTTTGTGATCAGGTTTTGCCACTCCACTTCAATTTAGAATTAACAGAAAAATATCACTGCCGAGGCCCTTCAAAAGCAAGATCTATGCGGGTTTGCTTTATAAAGATAAGGGTGGTACAATAAAGATATGAAAACTTTATTTCCTTTCCCAGAATGTCAGTGAACTACCATGGCAAACACACTCTTCTTGCCTCTGACAAAGTGTTTCAACGTATTATGTGCACAAGTTTGAGCAATTCCTGATCACACCCACAGCATGCTCATGTTTCCCCTTACAGTTCCAAATTCTAGACTCTTCAGAAGTGCCTTATGAGGGAAAAAGATGACTGGACACTTCAGTTCTTTTATGCAATTAAATATATAAAAACTGGCACTTCATTTTCTGAACCTAATCCAAGCCATCTATTTTCTCAAGTGCATTGAAAGGTGTTTCCTTAAGAGGTAAAACTTAATTTATTTGGTAAGTGTCTGTATCATCTGCTCAGTATAGCTGGTGATGTTTAGCATTTGTAAGAGCTATTTTTATACCACCATGTAATAGAAATTAATATAGATGCAATTTTAACCAAATGTTAAAGAAACCAAAAATAAGAATGCAACTACTTTTGTTCTGAGCAAGCCTCCTACTGAAATTTTGCTGAACTGCAATGCATCCCAGCATAGTATGTTTACAAACCTTTATTATCTAGCACGTTAGGAAGCACTTTTCTATTGAACGAAATAATTTTATCTTTTTTAAAGACTTTGCATATCTGGAGAAAGTTAGAAACCCAAAATAACTGTCACCAAGACTGGCAATATCCACACCAGAACAGTAACAACTTAAACAGAAGTCCTGAATACAGTCAAATACTTTCATTTAGGTGCTTTGCCAAGTATAGTCCTGAAGCATGTCCCTCCAGTAAAATGCTGCCTGAAATATTTTTATCTTGAATTCTAACAGGCTTATTCTATTTTTAATAACATATTAATACATTTGAATTAATATATTTTAGTAATATTGCTTACCTTGAGATGTCCCCCCAGTACCACTCCGCTTCCTGCAGAGAGAAACCGGAATTGTCCTTTATTCCATTCGTATTGACTGGAGTCATTGGTTTGGGGGGCTTTGGAGGAAGAGCTAAAAATTAAGAACAGATCAAAGAAAGGTAAACAGAGGAAAATAATCACTAAAATGTTAATGAAATATGACAGTGAAAAAGCAAGAGAAAATGCACATCTTGAACTTGGTGTTCAAGCTCTCTCAAAGTAAATGGAATTTGTAATTTTTAAATAATTTTTAAGTCAACAGCTGCACTGTGATCCCAGATTTCCTAGTATTCAAACCAAACATGTGCTTGAGTAAGGGGAAAGGGAAGGAGTATGAGGAAACACGAGTTTTTGTTCAAAGGAAGACTGGCTCAGGCATGACTACAAGGGCAATCACCGCCCAAACCTCCCAACAAGTTAAAGGTGTATTGTGTTTGAAAGCCACAGCCTGGAGAGCGCTGTGCACCACTGTGGAAAAACTCCAGTTGCTCAGGCGTCACCAGTCCTTATACCAACCCATAAGAGCAAATGGGTGGACTCTTCTTCAGAGCAAAAAATGCTGCTAGTGAGAGAAGCGGTAGCTGGGCAGTGGTATCTCCACCATAGACCCAAGGTTCATGTCTCATACTAGATTTGTCATTTAGGCGCCTGTTAGGAAAAAGCTATGACCCTTTGAATACTACAGGACATGAGGTGATAAAGGAAGGGGATAAAGGAAGGGGAAAGGGGTCTTTACTTTAGGTCATTATTAGAGCGCCTGCACCACTGTACACAGCTGAAGTGTTTACCACAGGAAAGGGGATGCTACAAATCCCTGAAAGACAGGCAGCAGCGCACATCTCTAGGCCTAGTGCATATCTGCCCAGAATTCCCCTGTTCTGAATTTAAGGCAAATAGGCTTTTACTTCTGCTCTCAAAATAGGTTACACGATGTAAGGGCATACAACTCCCTGAAACTCTTTCTATCTGGTCAGTTTTTGCTCAAACAACTTCATCATGATCTTGAATGCCCTATACCAGGAGTAATTTAGGAGCCATAGGCATGCTCATGTATTGGTAGAGACTTGTCTGTCAGCAGAGATGCATTACACTGTTTTCTTCGAGAAAGATGTCTTGAGTGCTCTCCCCTGCTTTGCAGAGGCTGAACGCTTCATCAAGAACCCTACCACTGAATCTGAGCATTTTTCAGGCATTTCATGAGACAGTGTTTTACAAGGACAGGTCACATTTGACTTCAGAGTAAGAAAGCAGCTACACCCATTGATTTGCTACTAGCACATTTTTAAGTCAGACCCTGAACATCTGTGCTCCCAGGCCTGTGCCCTAGCCATCAGATTACACAAGCATCAGCGAGCAGGCCTGACACACTGACAACAGCCATCTTTCAGATGCACACGATCCCAGTGTACAAGCAGAAATACAAATAAAGGGAGCAGAAAGAAGATTTTGATCCCTAGCTCCAGTGCGGAATGGCTTAACGCTGAGAGGTGTGCTGCTTGGCACCATCCATCTGCTCACCTCCGAGCCACACCTCCCACATTAAAGAAGAGAAAACAGTGTTCCAACTTGCAGTTCCAAATACCATTTCATGGTGAATATCCGACACAGTAACTTCACTGTTCTCAGACAAACCAGTAGATACTTTAATCGAGCCAATCTAAACTAAATCTGAACCTTGACCCAGACGTTTGCACCCTGGGGTTGCTGACCAAACACCTGATTCAGATAGCAGCATTCATTCTGCGGGACTGAGCATTAAACTGTAGCATACAGGTTCTTTTTATGGGGTGAGCGGGGAACTTTCAGGTGTGCACATATCTAGTGAGGCAATAACTGGTCTTGTTATAAAAGGAAGGTGAAAACCTTCGGATTCAGTGAAGCAGCTTCCTGGTTAGGAGGCTTTGGTTATTCCTAGCTCTACTACTACAGCTGTTTGTACAGCACCTAAGTATCTGTACAAAGCACCATTGAAAATAAGACACAGTTCTAACCCTATTTTGCTTGCAGCTCCCAGCCTCATTCTGCTTTCACAGGGTCAGAGGAGCACATAACCAGGCTAAGCCTGTAGAGTCCATGTACCATGCCTTGTGCTGTTCCATCTCCCCCATTCAAAGCTCCTGAATTGGAAAATGTCTCCAGGTCCTCCCTCCTCCCCACCCCACATCTGGGTTGTGCCACCCAATGTACTCTAAGCAAGCGACAGGACAGACGCAGCAGTTCTGAGTCTTATCAGTGTCTGCACATGGCAGTAAATTCGAGTTCAGAAAACATGTAGATGTTCTGATCTACTCCAGAATCTTCTGTAGATTCCAAGTCATCAACAAGCGCATTAAGATTCACGTAAAAAACATACAACAGCGTGGAGAATTCTTAGAAAACTATACCAGCACCAGCAATTATTTCACTGGGTCTTGCAAGTTAAGGCTTGGACAGATCAAAAACTTCCAAGGTGTTTTACAGTGTAAAAGCCTGTTTTACACTGGTAATAGGGGCTTTCCAGAAGAGGCTTTCAAGTATTCTCTAGAGTACTTGAATACTTCTCTAGCCCTCCTTGTAAGATTAAGTCTTGCTCCTTTACATACTGTGGAATTATTTATCGGCTTTGTTAGGGCTCACTTGAAAGCACTGGGCACAGAAAAGCAAACTAACAAAGACCAGAAAAGTAAGAAACAGGAGTTTGGCATATGGCCACAGAGCACTAGACATTACACCAAGTGTCTTTACTACAGGTGGGGGTTTCTCGTTCTTTCCCTTAATAAGTATGTATCAGTTCTCACTATCGGAGGTTGTCTGCAGAATTTCATTCTGCATGAGAAAATTGGAAGGAAATGCTTCCAGGGAGAAGAATAAGCCTTGGACCAGTTCCTGTAAAACCTGACTCATGGAAGCCAGTCCTTTTCACAATAGGCTTTTGAAAAATGCTTTTTAATAGCTTGCACATTTTAAAAATACTAAAGTGTTTTTGCAAGGGTGGATCCTGTTTCCAGAGAGCTATAGATCTAATTTTTTACTTTCAATACTTTGAGCTCTTTGAGTCATAATAGATTTTCCCCCGTATTGGATAGAGAACCAGAACCTTGCTATTGCTTTACCCAGTAGACTACCATGCCCATCCATCTCAGTGTTTCTTGGCTACCCTCTCAGCCTGGTATGACTGTAGTCTGTACAAATGGAGAGCTGAGCATGAAGGTAGTTTAAACCCCACACCCCAGAACCTGTGATGACACAGGGGGAGCATTTTGTAATAGCATGGCAAGCCTGCTATAAAAGAGCAGCGTGCACCCTACTGCTGCTCTCATAACACTGGCCCAATGGGTTGCTAGAAGAGGCATCCTGAAATAGTTTTTACTAGTACCTAGACAGTACTAACCACCCTGCTAGGAGAAATCCTGTGAGGTTTCTATGAGAAGCTACAAAGAGCCTTAAAGAGTCTAGAGGATTTAAACTTAAAAAAAAATAATCCAGGTTTATATACCTTACTTGATGAACATTAGAGAGCTAAAATCCTACAGTAAAGTAAAATAAGGCTGGTTTGAAGTCAACAGAAATGCTTTCAAGAGCAGCCATGTTCCTTTCCATGTCAGTGAGTCCAATTCTGATCTAGCCACAGGCACAATCTTACTTTATCTCAAAACAAGCTCTGATTAGAGTGAACGATCCTGATGGTTTCTTGCCTTCTTTTTCCTGGGAGAGAAAGAACATTGATCACAAGTGATTAACAGCACAATGGATCTTTCTGTTCTCATAAAGAACTTGCTGTTAGCATCAGATACACAAGCATCCTTCCCCTACCACGTCTCTAGGACAGCTTTATGGCACAGATCTTTCCAAAACCCAAAAGGCAACAGCTCAGCTGGACCCTTCTGCTCCTGATGAGTGCATTCCCAAGATCAGATTCAGCCCTCAGTGACCGCCTGGCACGCAGCGATGACAGCCGACTGGCTCTACCTCACGCACTAGCGAGCACCTCTGGTTTTTCTTTCTTTAGCAACTCCAGTCCCCTCATTCTAGCTTCCCCAAACAGCCTAGCTTGAGCTACATCCCAATCCCAGCTCAGTGTCACTTGGAAGCGGGGAAATAAAAAAATGCTGGTGATGGAGCACAGATGGCGGGAGCCAATGCGGGCCGGGCCCGGGATCGGATGTTGCTGACGTCAGGGCACGGAAGGCCGCCGTGCCGGCTCCAGCAGGTACCTTCAGCAGAGCTGCTCTGCAGAGCTGCAGCACAAGTCCTTAGAGAGAAAAGGCTATTGATTAGGCTTTGCCAAGGTAATTTTTTTGATGCTTTCTTGACTGTGTAGAATTGCGTTTTAAAAAGGCTACTCAGGATTTAACTGACTTGATTCCCTGAAATTTAAGCCACCTCCAACGTTAAGACAATCAAGAAAGCTGGCAAGTGTCTGACATTTAGCACCGTTGTTGTTTTTTTAATTTAAAGTCTCTTGTAGAAAATAGTAGGCTATATTAATCCTGAATTTAACTTTGGCAAAGTACGCTATGACTTCCATGATACTCACTTTTCTCAGTCAGGTTTTGAATCAAAAATGTCACAAGTTTACCTGACCTAAGAGCCACGGAGCCCTACGTGTGAGGGTTTTCAGTGGCACTAATTCAGGAGGAATGAAAGAAGAATGCCTTGCGTCTCCAAGTGTTACATCCCACACAGCATCCAGTCAAGCAGCCTGTTTCTTCTCTGGTTGCAGTATTTGCATACAAGATAAACCTGTCAGATAATTAAACTCTAATTTGCAGTTTTGAGGCAGATGCCACTTAATCTAAGAATGGCTCTATAACTTATTTCTTCGAGTATTTTCCAAGAGCTGCAGGCCAAATACTTAAAAGCATAGCAGGTTTAAATGCAGTATTAACTCTATCTCACTGTTACAAGTAATCACAACTACCAAGTACTCTGATAAGACAATTTTAAGTCACTCAGCACCTCCATAAGCTTGTTACTAGCCTTCTTTCTGATGCTCTCAATCTACTCTCCCTCCACATTGTGACAAGCAGCAAACAGATTGGAGGATTTCTGAGATAGTTACCCAGCTTCAAAAAGGCTGACATACAGTAGATACCCTACTAACTATAATAT